ACTACTATTTGTTTTTTAAAAGTTTTTGACTATTTAGGCATTGGGGATTCAGTGCTATAAGACAACTAAGATTCCATTCTCAGAAAACTTAAATTTTAGGAAGGGAAGACAAGCAGTAAATCAGTAACTGCATGAGATTTACTAAGTGCTTTGAAGGAAATATCACTGGGTAATGCTAGAAGTGGGTGAGGTAGGTGTACTGCTCTTGTGGGTGGTCAGGGAAGATGTTTGAGCTGAACAAGTAGCGCCTGAAGGAAAGGTGTGTTAGGGACAAGGAGCAGCAGAAGCAAGATCTAGGGTGAAATGGTGGCAGCTGTGTTTGAGACAAAGTCCAGTGTGGTTTCAGCAAGTGAGGAGAATGTGGCAGTAGATGATGTTAGTAGGACATGATGATGAGTTCAGATTTTATGTTAAATGCTGTGAGCAACCTCCGGCAGGCCTTAAGCAGGGTTAGTACCAGGGATTGAACGGGGAGGGCGGGGGATGCTTAACCACTGTGCCTCATCCCAGCCCTTTTTCATATTTTATTTAGAGACAAGGTCTCACTGAGTTGCTTAGAGCCTTGTTAAGTTGCTGAGGCTGGCTTTGAAGTCACGATCTTTCTGCCTCAGCCTCCTGAGCTGCTAGGATTACAGGCATGTGCCACCATGCCTGGCACTTTCTTTTTGTTTTTTTCACCTTGGGATTGAACCCAGGGTGTTTTACCACAGAGCTACATCCTTAGTCCTTTTTATTTTTTAATTTTTTTAAGCATCTGCTAAATTGCTGAGGTTGGCCTCAGATTTATAATCCTCCAGGGATTACACGCGTGCACCATCATGTTCAGCTTGATTTTATAGTACTTGGGTTTCCTCTTCTCCTTTGCTTCTCTACACTTGTTACAGAGAGGGCACATTAACAGCATGGGACAGTGACCCCTTCCCCATTGGCGGTTCCAACAGTCCTAGGCCTGTTGCAAGGGGTGCTGCAGACAACCTGTGTAGGGGCAACTGTCTCAGCTCACAAAAGAGTTTAGGTCTTTACTTTTAAAAGACCATCAGGTTGCTCTGTACTTTAAAAATCTATTTTTCAGTGGAACCCAGGGGTTCCAGAGCTACACCCCCAGTCCTTTATTTATCAAGACAGGGTCTTGCTAAGTTGCCCAGGTTGGCCTTGAACTTGGATCTTCCTGCCTCAGCTTTAGGAGTTGCTGAGATTACAGGTGTGCATCATCATGTCTGGACTTTGTACATTTTAGGTCTCACTGTTGTCTTCCCCTTAATAAAGTTCTTTTGGAGAAAGAATATAATCTACAACAGTGAACTCAATAGATAATCTCATTAGTTCTTTTCCTTAGAAATCAGAATTGCTTGGGGCTGGGGTTGTGGCTCAGTGGTAGAGTGCTCACCAAGCATGCACGAGGCACTGGGTTGGATCCTCAGCACCACATAAATGTAAAATAAAGATGTTGTATCCACCTAAAACTTAAGAATAAATATTTTTTAAAAAATCCTATTTGCTTGACTTGAACTAAAAGATAACTTTTAAAATATAATTCTTTTGTTGAAAAGAATACTGGAGATGGGCTGGGGTTGTGGCTCAGTGTTAAAGTGCTTGCCCAACATGTGTGAGGCACTAGGTTTGATTCTCGGCATATAAATAAAATATATAAATAATCTCAGCACATAAATATGCATATAAATAAATGAAGAAAATAAAGCCCACCAACAACTAAAATATACATATAAAAGAATTAAAAAAATGAATATTGGAGGGCTGGGGTTGTGGCTCAGTGGTAGAGCACTTGCCTAGCATGTGTGAGGCACTGGGTTTTGAGTCTCCGCACTACATAAAAAAATAGCAATATTATGTCCATCTACAGTTAAAATACTAAAAAAAAAAAAATACTGGAATTCTAATTTACCAGGCTTGGGCTATGAAATCAATTTGAGTTGATATTAAAAAATTGTTCCTGCCTTTTCAGAGGAGTGTGCCTCTATCTTGCTGTATAGCATATGGGAAAATACTTAAATGTGTGAGGGTCCAAAAGAGATGTTAAGCACATTATTTTTTAAAAAATATTTTTATTTGTAGATGTTCATTACTTAGTTTTTTTATGTAGTGCTTGGGTTTGAACCCAGTGCCCCACACGTGCTAGGCAAGTGCTCTACCACTGAGCCCCAACCCCACCCTCAACCCTGAGTACATTATTTTGATGGCAGTATATAAAGGAAATAACTGAAGACTTACTGTGGGCCAGACACTCTTGCAAACACTTTATGTTAGTTTATTAAATCCTCACATTATTATTTCTATTTTACAAGATGAAGAAATTGAGCTATGGGGTGGATGGGTTAGGTAATTTGCCAAATCACACAGCAGTTAGAGGGAGAGCTGAGGTTCAAATCCTGGCTGGCTGGCTCTAGGTGGAGCTGGATTATCTGAGTCAGCACAACATGGTATAAAACTTTATTATATCTAACAGTTAATTTTATGTTACCTTATGTATTAATATGCTTATAAACTTAAATTTCTCAAAAAGTTTTACGAAACAATACTTAACCTACAATGCACACTTAATTTTGCTTTATTCTCTTCTACCTACTTAAAAGAATGGCTGGTTGAGACCTCCTAAACTGATTATACTACTCACTAGTGGGCCTCAACTTAGTTTGAAAAGCTGGCATAATGCTTTTGAGAACCCAGTCTCTGGAGTTAAACTTGCTGGATCTGACTCCTAGGTCTACCATTTATTTGCTGTGAGTTTGGGCAAATTACTTACCTTGTCTGAATCTTCTTTGTAAAATGGATTCAATGAGTACGTAAAGCTCTTAGAACTACACCTGGCATGAAAGAAGTACTCTTAAATGGAAGTAATTATTTCTAGACCCCTGGGTCTAAGCTAAATTTATGTGACAACCCAAAGAAATGTTTGGTTTTTTAGGAAATCCTCCATTATGAAAACAGACTTAAATAATAAATATTCAACAGATGTAATACCACTCCTCGCTTGCCAAAAACAAACCAAAGCAAAACAAACAGAATTAAGAGTGGTTTCTCTCTTCTTGATGAGTAGCTAAAAGTACACTGTAAGTTTCAGGGTGGGCTTGGTAGATGGAGAGATGTGCATAAATTGAAAGTTTGCTGGTGAAAGCATTACTGATAGCAGCTGAGGATCAAGTGTCAAATTTTAGTAACTGTTTGCCTATGGAAACTTTATAAATAACACAGGCATCTGAGATGAGGTGCTGTATAAGGAACACCTGTCATGTGCATGTTATCAGAAGGTAACAGTGGTCAACTTGGTTCCGCTTGCCCTTAGCATTATTCTATAGAAAGGAGCACCTGTTGCCCCCACCACCTCATCAGGAGCACCATGGTCCACAGGCCAGCAGTGTCAAGGAAGCAGGAGCCACTCAAGCCACATGTGACCTGCCTCAGCATCAGTGGCTTTACCTTACTGAGGATGGCAGGGGCTAATGAGTACATCTAGCACTTCCAGCTCATAACTTAGTTCCTGGAGTCAACACCCATTTCTATCCAAAGTTCCCATTGCCATCATGATCATAACAAAACAATATATGTTGATCTTGTGTCCTGGCTACACAAGCTTGGGTAAGGCGTATCCTTCAGCACTTCATATGGTTCCTAATATGAGAGGACATGGGCCAGATTATCTTTAATAACTCTGCATTAACATTTTGAGTTGGGGAGACTACATAACCCAGATAATAGATGGAATAATCATAGCCCCTGACAAAATTTCAGAAGTGCTCATGTAGCAGTTCTTTGTAATGGCATCTAAAAAATGTTTATTATTATTTTTTTAATATGGTGCTGAGGATTGAATCCAGTGCCTCACATGTGCAAGGCAAGTGCTCTATCACTGAGCTACAGCCCCAGCTCCTGTAACAGCATTTTATAATTACTGAAGAATTTACTATTCTGGAACATTTTATGGAAATTTCTAATATAAAAAAGGCCAAAATTACTGTCATAATCACGAATGAAGTTCTTTTCGAAAATTAGTTTCTCTAACATTTGGATTAAAGATTTGCATTTTTCATATGAGAAAACTAGTTCAGAGAAAATAATGTCTTGATAGCATTCTTAGAATTGGAGGGGCATGAAGGGTATGAAAATCTGAAACCAGATTCTTAGACCTGTGCCCCTTTGGGGAATTATCTGTCTTTCATACTGTTCTCAGGATTTCCAGGTGAAGTTTTAAAACTGTTGACTTCTCTTTTGGAAACCTCTGGTGATTTTATATATTTTTGTCTAAAGATATTTTAGGTGTTTTTCAAAATTCAGGTCATGAAATCAAATGCATAAAATCAACTTATTAAAATGATTTAAAAGAATGAAGTTGAAAACATGAGTGCATGTTTGTGTGCATATTTTGTTAATGTAGAAAGTGCAAGTTGTGTCAAAACATTTGGAAAAAAATGTGAAGGTGAATTTCTACAGATTTATATATATTTTTTCTTTTTTTGTTCTAGTGATTGAAAGCAGTGATGCTTTACCATTGAGCTACATCCCCAGCCCTTGTTTTGAATTTTTTAAGACAGGGCCTGACTTGCCAAATTGCTGAGGATGGCCTTGAACTTGCTGTTCTTCTGCCTCAGCCCTGGAATCACTGGGATTGTGTGCCATTGTGCCTGGCCACACACTAATTTTTAAATTTACCAAATTAAAGCACACATTTGAACTGTGTGATTACACAGAGTGCTTATTTTAAACTAAAGAAACATAAGGTTACAAAACTGTCAAATTGAGGGTCATCACTAGCACCTGATAAAAGACTGGTTACCACTGTAAGACATGTAAGTTGGACAGCATGTAGAGTGTAGCATGCAGGAAGCTTGACAACTTTAGCTTCTATTCACAAAGCAGTAATGACACTATATATGAAACAAAATCTGTATTTCTCAGTCTCCACTGCCTGCAAGAACTACCTGTCAAAACCATTGACTAATTTTGTTATTCAATGTAAGTGCTAGAAAAATAATCTTGAAAAAGACTTCTCCATGCAGTCAATCTTTATTATAGCAGTATTCGCATATTCACATCAAATACATAGAACTTTTTTTGCCTTTTATATAATACAGAGTTTTTTAAATAACTTTACACAGAAATAAATTTCTTCAATCTGATTTTCAGCTATCTTTTTAAAAATTCTCCATGCTTTCTATCCAAACTGAACAATATGTTCCATTATACAAATTTACATGAGAAAAACTCCAAAGTACAAATGAAGGGACCTGAGCAGGTAAGAGAACCAAAGTATCAGGAAGTGGGTATGGAGGAGAATTAAAAAAAAAAAAAAAGTTCAAGCAAACATTGAGGGTTAAGGATAAGAGGGAAACATCATCCATTTGACTGAAAATAAATGTCTTTCTTATGAATTGAAAAATAAGCTTTAAAAATAGTTACTCCATTGTAATTTTTGCAAAGCAGGTATAGAGAAGTCTGAGGACAATGAAAAAGTCCCCACCTTTCTACTGGGCCACCCTAGACTCCATGAGAGCCTTTTTATAATGCTTAAGCAGAACTGAAGTGAACTAAACCCAAACCTCTGGCAATTACAGAAAGGAATGTGTGAGCCGCCATAAGGTTTGGGGTGGTGAAACAGGAGTCGTTAATTCACTGCAGTTTAAACACAAAGCATTTCCCTTTCTTCTCCCTTACAGGAGACTTGTCCTCAAACCAAGAAGTACATGAAAAGGGGGGGATTTCCTTTTCCTTAGTCTAAACCAAAGAGTAATCACAAATACCAAAGAAAATGCATGATGAATGGACAAATCAATCCCCTGATCAGCTGTATGATCCCATCTTAAGAGAAGCAGCAACTGCTGAATGAGCAAAGGATCAGATGTATACCCAACAAATGGGGTTACCACAAATATCACTGTGATAAGTCTTTCAAATCAGGCAACATCAAGAAGGCCAAACAAGGCTATACCATATGGTACGGCCAAAGGAAACAGGACCCAATGAATTCATTTTCAAATGAAGAAAGGAAAAGGGTACAGTGCACACATGCGTGCACAGGACACACACAGAAACACACACACACACACCCTGGCATGTAAACTAATATAAGATGAAGATAAATAAGACATAAAGGTTAGCCACTTATGTTGATAATTAACATGAATAAAAAGGCATTATATGTTTACATAGCTGGTTTTAATCAGCTATGGAACATATGTGAATGTATTAGGAATGATTTTTTTAAAAAACCGTTCACAGCTTAGAATAAAAAGCACATTTATTGCACTCTTACATTTTATTTCTGGCAATTATAGTTTATTTCTTACCCTCACATTATTTTTCCCTATTCCCCAGACTGAACTGCCACCCCACCCCATTTTGGTCCCTTTTCTCTCCATCTGTGCCTAGTCTGGTAACCCTGTTGCTTAGGCTACACTCTGCAGTTTCTTATGTAACTCACATCCCACCAAGACACACGGGATCAAAAGCTTAACACAAATGCAAGAGAGCGATTTTCAAAGCAAAACATGACAAAGCCCCTCAACTCATAACCCCATTCCAGCCTGTCAAGACCCTTTCCTTATGCACCTCTTCATGCGTTTCTTGCCCGACTCCCCTGCATCTACAGTATCAATGGGAACCAGTGGTTGTGGGTGCTGGATCATGTACTCAGCCTGCCAGGAGAAGGAAATGGTTTGCACAAAAAATTTTTTGATACTAACATGAATAAATATATTTTAGTTCTGTTTTCAAAGAGTACTTCAATCTATAGAATTCCTTACCAAAAAATGCACCACAAAAAATGATACACTGGCTGCGTCCTCATGCACAACTGGTTATATCATTACAATTAGTCAAAACGGCTAAATAAATGTTTTTTGAAAGTGATTTAGTAATTAATGAAACTAAATTAGTTGAAATTGTGGGTGCTGAAATAAAGGATCTACTTTGATTACTTTGTTGAGGTGGTGACTAAGTGTCCTCATGTATTTTTTTTTTTTTTACCTGTTACCTTAAGATTTTAGGACTTCAGATGCTGTCCTTTTCTACTTCAAAAATACCCAATAGGAACTGTTAAATATCCTTCTCACAATGAACAACAATTAGGACTGAATTTTAATTTAAATGTCTAAACAAAAGTGAAATTAAGTTACTTAAAAAAAAGCTTATGGTCAAGTGTACTGATATAACAAACATCTTACCAGTATTTAACTTTACCAGAGCTAGAAACATGTACCACAAATGCACTGGTCACCTTACTCTCCTCTGGTCAGTTACAAATCATTGCCTCTGCAGGCAGAGGTGCTACTGCCCTCCTTGGGCATTAGTAATTCATTTCAGTATTTCAGCCAAACAGCTAAAGGATGTACTGGGGACAATACATTGGCTTTCTTGGGGGTGGTGAGGAATGAAACAAGATACAAGAACCACACCATGAAGTACGTCCAGTTTTACACATACCTGCTAGGTCATTCACAATTCCAATGGCCCCTCACAAAGGAGGTCTCCAGAGATGGCCCTCCTTGGCTCCCCACCATGCACTACAGCAGGATTAGTAGCACAGTTCAGCTTCATTTTGCAGACAAGTCTGGGAGGTGAGTTACATTTCAAACTCTGAAAATTCAGTGTCTAAGTTGGCAGCAGTACTCTGGAAACTAATTAAATCAAATTCTTTACTCTATTTTAATTTCTCCTTTCTCATTAGGTTAATACATGATTGCTGCCCAGCATTACAGTACTTCAACACTAAACTACAGCAGTTTCTTAAAATGTCTGTCAAACATTTCTATTGTATAAAAGTTCCATGCTTTGAAGAACTGATGGGAGTAGAAAAAAGTTTCTCTAGAAATGTCACTGAATTGTATTTTCAACCTAGTTGCTCTATGTGATAAATATATCTGACTATACTAGGGATTATGTGCTTTAAAAAAATAATTTTGTTCACTGAAAATTTACTTGTGTTTTCTCATTTTTTAAATGTGATTTTGGCTATAAACTCTTTAGTGCATTTATCTTTGCAGTCTAAATTGCACTCTAAAAAATATTAACACAGCTGAGTTAAACCAGAGTGGCTGCTCTCTTCATAAATCACTGATTTCTGCTAAAATTTTAGCTTTTTTTTTTTATTGCATCATGAAGGCACAGTAAGATCATTTGGCAAATTGTCAAGGTATTTTTCTAGAGCCTCACCTACACCATTTCCTGTATGACCTGTAAGCTACTTGCTATTCCTACTCACAGTAAACCTTCCGTCCTGGCTGTGGTTTATGGCCTAACAGTTGACATCTGATATTCTAGCATTAAAAACTCCAACTGGGACAAAAAGGAGAATCTTGCATAAAGGGCAGTCACTCTACCCTCTTGGCTGGGCAGTCTCTCATGAGTATCTGTGCAAATGACAAAGCTGTGGCTAACTCATTATGAAGATGTGCTACCTTGCTGAGCCTACTGAAAACTAACATCATATCACTGGTAGTGAAGCGATACCCTAACTATTTAACTCCATGCAACTGACTTCAGGTTAAGATTCTGAAACGTACCCCTAAACAGATTCTGGCACCACTTCCAACAACATTCAGATACTCAAACTACAATTTTTTTTTTTTTTTTACAGTATCACTGCTTAAATGTATAATGCCCTTTAGGACAAAATGAGAGTGCTCAAATAGAAGTACACATAAAAGTTAAAATCTTAAATCATCTTCATGTTCTAAAGCTCCTGACTTTTCATATTTTAAGATAAATAACTATTCATTTCCTCATCCTGAGGAGGTAGTTTTTTTGAAGAGGTCACCTGAACCCTGCAATGTGTTTCAAACTACAGCTAGAAGAGATTTGCAAAAGCCTGGCGAGGTGGGTATGCGGGTGGGGACAGGTGGGTCTGAGGAGGGGTGTGCAGCAGCTCCAGCGGTGTCTGATGGATACAAGATAGCGCGCTGTGATACAAGAGCTGTGACACACCACACAAGAATGAGGGTGTTTACAAAGTCTTGGGCTGACAGTGCTGAAGGCTGGAATTATTTCTTTTTAATGTTCTTCCTCTCTAATACCAACATAAACATAACTTATATGAAATTTCAGCTTCTAGGATGCCTCAGTATGACCTACTAAACCTCAAATACAATCAGGGATGGGATGTTCAGGAACCAGAATTTGATAGCTTGACAAAGTCTTTTAAAGTGCATGTAAGTACAAATGATCACATTGGATTTTTTTATTCACAAACCCCTTCTATAAAACATATTTTTTTGGGGGGAGGGTCAATAGTATTTCAGTGGCAATTTTCAGGGTCCTAGACCCTAGTTTAATAATAAAGAAAAAAAAAACATAAGAAATATTATATTATTTAAAAACAATCTTTTATAGTTGCTTTCAAATTTTTTAGAAGGCTTCATTCTTTCAACCAAAAATGAAACACCCGCAGAAGGCACTGCAACCACTTTATGGACAAGACTGACAGCTATAGCCTTATAAGATGATGGGTGAAGCAGCCACACACTGTCTCCACAAATTACTCATAAAGTGCTTTGCACAAACAAGGGTTTCTTCCTTCTGTTTTCTTAGGCGCTCAACAAGTCTTTCTGCAGTGTAAGCATAAAAAATTAAACAAAAAACCCCAAAAGAAACTCCTTTTTTCGCCATTTGTAAACTAAAGTGAAAAACTATGATTTGATGGGAATAAAGAAAAGGAAGGTTTAAACATTTTATTTATTTCTAAAGTTCTCTATAAAAAAATCTCTCAAAACCCTGAGCCTGACTTCTGGGCACAGCTTCATTTATCAGCTTTTCAGATGAAACAGCAATCTACTTTAAAATGAAAGGAGGATAAAAAGTATTACCCTGTATTTCATTCAGAAAACTGGAATGCTAAGCTTCCTCCCTAAGTATGCTGGAGTTGTCCCAGATGCTGAGGTGGCCCGGCTTGCAGGCCCAGCACACAGAGCAGGCTCTGCTCCTCAGCAGGACCCACATACATATCTATGATTCAAGCCCTGCTCTCTCCAGAGAGGATCTAAGCTCTGAGCCAATCTTTGTAAAGGGAATACAGCCATATTTACAACCATCTATAGAGATATATTTAAAAAGGACAAATAAACAATGCTTTTCAGAAAGAGGCAGCATCATATGCACAGAAGACACCTTTTGATTTCTAAATTTTCTCTGCTCATGTAAGACTTAAAAACATTTCACTGACTGGGGATGTGGCTCAGTGGTAGAGCATTTGCTTGGGTTCCATCCCCAGCACTGCAAAACAAAACAAAACAAACAAACAAAAAAACCCCAAAACCAATAAAAATAAAAAAAATAAAATAAAAATAAAAACAACCAGTAAAAACACATCGTTAAAACTGTTAATAACTTAGGATATATTTCATTTTACTGGAACAACCTTTGTTAAATCCATGACATTTTCAATAGGCCTTCTTCTGATTAAGATATTTTAGTAAAATTCATCTAATGAAATGTAGTATAGTGGGAGAGGAATTATAATCTGAAAAATTTAACTAACTTCTGGTTCCCTGATGTAAGTCCTGTTGAATTTCCTTCAGGTCCTTGGCTATGACTCATCTGGGCTAAGTACATCTCATTTAATTTGGATTCCTCAATCCTGATAAGTGATTCTAAGGAGATTATTTCTATTAATACATCTGGTCACTTTCTTTGCTACTTTGGTGATTTATAATCTGCCCTTTAATAAAGGTCAAGGGAAGCTATGACTAGGTTATATTTTCCATTTGTGAAAAGACAAGACAGATTTAGGTTCTCAATACCTCAGCAGCTCTTTCTATAAAAACAACTGATGGTAGGCTTCACACACCCTACCTCAGTCTTGACATCCCTAAGATTTTCCTATTCTCTGCTTGGGGAACTCAGCTGCAAAATTATCCAACCTTTTGAAGACCAGGCTTGGGAAAAAAGGAAGGAGGAGAATGAATAGAGATACCACCATTTTTATTTCAGGTTGCATATTCTAGGTAAAAGACTAGAAAGTGGATGTAGGATGTAGTGTTGGAATCAATTGGAAGAAACAATGAGATTATTAGCAAAGATGTTAGTGTGGATCCAGCAAGTACCATTAATTTAAAAATTATAAATATTTGTCATTATGCTAAGACTCCCCATATTTAGGTAGAGAAAAGGATAATGATCTTTCTTTAAAAGTTGTTTATGTAACAAAAATACAGTTTTCAGGCTATATAATTCTGGTGGGAACTATAATTTCACTCCAATTCAATTACAGCTGAAAATTATTTTCTTTTTAATAAAAATATAATAGAAGAAACTCAGAAATTAAAACCTGTACCTTACATTTAATTACATAAATTTCTCACATTCAAAACTGTTATTAAGCAGTTTTGCAGGCTTTTAATCAGATACTGTCCATGGCATTTTGGCCCTGGACAAAGTAGCCACATAAGTACTTAGTGACTGGAAGAGCTTAGAGGAAGATATAGACTGTATTTTCCTGAGAATTTGCTACATTGTGGAGGAAACAAGTCCCCAACTCTCATCTTCATTGCTGGACCCAATGAGAAAAGAAGGCGGTATGTGCCAGCACTGTCCAGCCTGCATGGTTAGGCAGAGCCCCAGGGAGCAAGGCAACCAGAGGCTAGAGACCTGGGAGGTCCGGAAGAAGATGCAGCATTCCCTTTTCCTCTGCTCCCAGACTCCTCCTTACCGCTCAACCTCCAATCAAATAAATAGAGCTTCACTGTGATAGAATTTGTCAAGGACTGAACATATACCACACAGGAAGGGGATGCTGCATTTTGGTTCCATTCCTCAGAAATTAACTGATGGTAGCCAGGGGAAAGAGCTCCACAACAAAATCCCAGAACAGGAAAGAGAACGATGCTTGGTGATTGAAACTGCCCCATCAGATGATCAGCCACAAACTGATCTGGTGGTTAGAAGGGCAAAGTTGACTGGCAGACCTTCCATAGCAAATCTCCCAAGCTGTAGCAGCAGTTTCTTTCCATCATGCCTGACCATCAAAAGGTCAGAATTCAGGGTCTCTCCTCTTTCTTCCTGGGAGTGGGCAGACGTGTGCACGTGGTATTTGTGGTGAAGAAGAAACACTGGCAGCAGAGAATTCGGTTCCTAAAACATTCTTCCCTCTTTTGTTGGAAAGGAGACTCCATTCTGTTCCATACCAGCTTATGCATTGAAAATTTTATATCTTAAAAAAAAAGGTTTGAGGAACAGAATTGTGTTTTGATGTTAACAAACTGTACGAACACAAGACTTAAATAAAGAGTAGATGCTGCCATGATGGTGTGACTACTTGAAGGCTGCAAATTCTCCTGTAAGGGAGGACAAGAGCTAATTTTAAAATAGTTATCTAAAAATAACCTCAAGGTAGTAAAACTTCATTTAAATCTCATTGAAAGGTGACCAGTTATATACTACAAACCTAGTATCATCATCACTAGTTTAAAACCCCAAATGGCTGAAATATATGAAAGAATCCAAATATGTATATATGATAGATAAGTATGGTTCAGCTATATCAATAAAATTTCAAGTCTGCAGATAGTTTCACAGCTGGGTTTGATATGTTATGGTTTAGATCAAGCTAAAAATAGTTTCAAAACAAAATTTCAAAAGAAATTGGTTGCACAATTGCAATGTCACTTTGCATAATACTTCTCTAAATTATCAACTCATTTTCATCTATCATATTACATATATAATGAAAGTCACTATAATAAGGAAGAAGAAAGAAATTATCCTTGTTTTTATAAAAATAATTTTTAGTTGTTGGGCTGAGCTGTGGCTCAGTGGCAGAGCCTAGCACATGTGAGGCACTGGGTTCAATCCTCAGCATCGCATACAAAAATAAGCAAATAAAATAAAGGCATGCTGTCCATCTACAACTACAAAAATTTAATTTTTTAAAAAATTTGTTGATGGACCTTTATTTTATTTATTTGTATGTGGTGCTGAGAATCAAAACCAGTGCCTCACGCATGCTAGGCAAGTGTGCTACCACCGAGCCACAATCCAGCCCTTATCTTCATTTTGTACAAACCAACTGAAAGGTCTAATGATCTGTCCACATCACACATTTGACAGGAGAGGAAGTCCAGACCTCCCACTTTCTAGTTAATTTTACTTTTTCCAACTATAAAAAATTAAACCTAGGCACTTTTCACTGAACTTAATTCTCTGCATAAAGAGTTCTTTAAATCATAAAGTCCCTTTGAGGTACTATATTTCTTCAAGCTTGACAAATTTGGAAGCTTCCTGGAATTATTAATATTTTTTGTACTGGGTATTGAATCAGGGCTCTTTACCACTAAACTAACATCACTAGTCTTTTTTTAAAAGAAATTTCAGATTCTTTATTTTTTATTTTTGAGAGAGAGAGAGATATATATATATTTTTTTTTAATATTTATTTTTTGGCGGACACAACATCTTTGTTTGTATGTGGTGCTGAGGATCGAACCCGGGCTGCACGCATGCCAGGCGAGCGCACTACCGCTTGAGCCACATCCCCAGCCCATAAATTTCAGATTCTTTAAAAAAACTTTTCTTTTAGTTGTAGATGGGCACAACAAATTTATTTATTTATTTTTATGTGATGCTGAGGACGAACCTAGAGCCTCACATATATTAGGCATGGGCTTTACCACTGAGGCACAATCACAGCCCTCCCTAGTCCTTTTTATTTTATTTTGGGTCTGAGTTGCCAAGACTGGCCTTGAGCTTGTGATCCTCCTGCTTCAGCCTCCCAAGTAGCTGGGATTACAGGTGTGTGCCACTGTGATAGTTTCATGGCATTATTTTTCATCTAACATTCTGTCTACAGCTGGTACTTGTAAACTCAAGGCCAGTTCTTGTTACTATATAATACTAAAGTTAATTTCTGGGAGTTGGTTAATAATTGACAATTATTAGAATTTAGTCTGCTATAACATCATTTTTTGCATAGCACTGTCTGAGGAGGATCTAAGCAATCACTTATATGAATACACTATTAATCTAGGAAGAACCTATCCATTTTTTCGTGGCTGTTAGATTCTACTTGGTTGCCAGAGAATGTCAGCATGTCCTAATGCAGAGCATATTACCTAGTACCCTGGTGACTGGTTGAACCCTGGGATTTGTATGCTGATGATATTAGCAACTGTTTTGAGTGCCAGACATGCCAGATGCCTCAACTTAACATTTTATACACATTTACATCTGACACTCATAATAATCCTATGAAGTAGACCCTATTATTATCTTCATTTTATAGATGAGCAAGTTGAGGTTTAGAGTGGTCAAGCAACTTATCCACCAAGATCACTCTGTGGAACAAAAGCTAATTTTAAAATAGTTATCTAAAATAACCTCAAGACAGTAAAATTTCATTTAAATCTCATTGAATGGTGACTAGTTATATACTACAAAACTAGCAACATCATCACTAGTTTAAAACCCCAAATGGATGAAGTGTATGAAAGAACCCAAATATGTATATATGATAGATAAATATGGTGGAATGCTTGTGGAATGCTAACCTAGGTGCTGCCTCTAAAGCCCAGGTTCTCAACAATTAACAAGCCCCTGAACAATTTTATTAAAAATTAAAATTTGTATTCCCACACTGATTTCAACTAGTTATTGAACAGCAGATAGTCCTTACTTCTATTCAGGGATTCCTTTTATTAAACAATTAACCATGGTGTTGCAAAAATGAAGATCGGGGAAGGGTAAAAGAATTATTACCTTAAAGTTAAAAGGATTAAGGAATTTGGCACTGATTAAAATGAAGAGCCGAATTACTAAGACCTTGGAGAGTGAAGGATTTCAAGCACAATCACAGGAAGCTATTATATTAACAGAAACTTGAAATACACAAACATACTCACCATCATTGCTCACTTTTGGGTACATTATAGTTTTAAGATTATTTTCAGTATTTTAATCAATTTCTTTAAAATGACTTGCAATATTCCTATGAGTACTAACTGTATCCATCACGATTCAATGTGAAAATAAGATTTAGGTCATATTTTGTTGAGCACTGTCCTATTCCACAAACTTAAAATATTAGCCTTAAAAATAATGAACAAAACAACCCCCAAAGAATAACATCTTATCAACAAACTCCAAATCTCATGCGAGTAAAACAAACACTAAAGATATCCTACCAAGTCTACTACTTCTAATCAAATGAAGTTTTTTCATAATCAGATTCTGGGTGAGCGGGTAGAGGAGACAAAAAGAACTTACAGTTTAGGAAGCAATAAAATAACTCTATGAATATCCATGCAATCACAAATAATTTTAAAGGAAAGATGGAAATAACAGGTGATGAATCTGCTTTTGAAAAATAAATCTACTCTAATTCCTTTTTGCCTATCTGGGAATCTCTAGATTCCATCTCCTACTCAATTACTTGAATTCAGGGGCAACTTTGCTTGTGTGAAGTAATTTGAATTGAAACATCTGCTACTTTTTGAAAATCTTGGTATATCAACTGAACTTATCAAAAAAATTAAAGACAAACAACATTTTCTTTCTCCTTCTTTCTGGTTGAGGATAACCTAAGCTTAATTTTCTATTTGATGAAAATGGGAACAGGGCAGAGAATTACTTGAAAGACTTTTAAGAAAACAAGACCTTGTGCTTTTAGATACCTCAAATAACATGATTTATTTGAAAGGTAAGGACTTTGTTAACTAATTTAAAAATATAAACAATTATTCTCTATTCTAGAATTGAATGTATTGCAATGGTCATTATACACACAATTTAACAAAGTTCCTTGAAGATAAAATATGCTATGAAAAATCTAAAAGGTTGTTCCTTATACAAATCAATCACTGCTTTAGATGTAGGAGACAACTGAAACCAGAGTAAACTTTTTGTGATGATCTTTCAGGCAGTTTCAAAAGGATAAGAAACATTCTGGCATAGATACCCTGGGCTGCCTGAATTCATAGAGAAACAGCACAAGTGAGGTGGAATACATGGTATAATGAAAAGTGCTATAGAAATGCTTAATACTTCAGTAATTCTCAATCAAAAAAGGACTATAACTGGTAGTATTCATTTCATAGTATTTTAAAAAGGCAGACTATATTCTTCAGAATGACCCATTTGAGAGAAAGGACATTTAAGCTAGTATGTTAAATAATACATTTTAGGATGATTTTAACTGGTTTATAATTTAAATGACTAATATTATAATACCTGAAAATAAACTAACCTGAATGAAGCATTTAATTAAATTCTGTGGTCTTTTTTTTTTGGTGGTGTTGGGGCTACTAGAGATAGAATTCAGGGGCACTTAACCACTGAGCCACATCCCCAGCCCTATTTTGTATTTTATTTAGAGACAGGGTCTCACTAAGTTGCTTAGAGCCTCACTAAGTTGCTGAGGCTGGCTTCAAACTCTTGTTCCTCCTGCCTCAGCCTCCCAAACTGCCAGGATTATGGGTGTGAGCCACCGTGCCTGGCCAAATTCTATGGTCTTTAAACTACTTACCTCAAAACAAATCTTATTTCTTATCACTGACTCTTAAAACTTTTAAAAGGTAAAGCAAATATTATAACAAGGTTGCCTTCTGAAGAAGGAAATCAATTTTACTGAAAAATATCTGAGGGCAAGGCCTTAGCAAAGAAGTAATCAATCACAAGAAAACAAACATCCTGTTTCAATTACCTAATGAAAGAGTAGCTCTACATATGCTTAGAAAAAATTCTGTTTTTCCTTTTTTTAAAAAAATATTTATTATTTAGTATTAGTTGGACACAACATGTTTATTTTATTTATTTACTTTTATGGAGGTGCTGAGGATTGAACCCAGGGCCTCGAGTGTGTTAGGTGAGTGCTCTACTGCTGAGCCACAACCTCGGCCCCTATGTTTTTCCTTTTTTGGAGACTGTATCTAAAACTCAGCATAAAACAAACAAATAACAACAAACAGAAAGAGAAGCTGATTTAATTCTGAAGATTCCTATTCTCTGATCTAAACATCTCACTTGCCATATTTCCATGTTTTTCAGGTTCTTCTACTAATCTAGAGGGCCAAACTTGGAAGGGATATTAAATTACTATGCAACCTCTGGAGGGATGCTCCACTGTCTATGGGCATAAGTTCCTAAGCAGCTCAACAGGGCTTAGCAATGCTCACTGGCAAAAAAAAAAAAAAAAAAAAAAAGACAAATGAAAGAAGTCAAATGCAGATGGCGGGGATTGGGATGGTGGGAGTGTTTTCTGGGCTGGATAGTGTTGGGGAGAAAGAAAGAAATCAATTTTACTGAAAAAATAAGTAAGGCAGGTATATTGGAAGATGATACAAAGAGTTCTATCAATAAAAAGATCCTTTAAATGCATAAGGGCCTGGGTCGATCTCCAGCACTGTAAAACAAAAAACAAAACCCTCCGATCTTTATTTCAAAATTCCCAAAACTTTTTTGAGCACTCCAAGACTAAGTCAATTTTGTGAAAATTTTGTTAGCCAGGTGCCTGCTATTCTTTTTGTGAATACATACAACTTTACTAACTACTACCCCTCCTATCTTTAGAGACACTGGAGGTTTTAGAAATCATTAACTTTGATGTTTTGCAACATGTTACATTCTTTTATCCCTTAATTTTCTTAAATATGAAAAAATGTCCTTTTTTACTATCTTGAAAGGCACTAATCAATCTATAAAGTCATAATGTCAATGCCTTTCTTTTATTCTTTTTTCTTTTTAGTACCAGGGATTGAACCCAGGGGGTGCTTAATCACTAAGCCACATCCCTAGCCCTTATTTTTCATTTTGAGAAAGGGTCTCACTAAGTTGCTTAGGGCTTTGCTAAATTGCCGAGATTGGCTTTGAACTTATGATTCTCCTGCCTGAGTCTCCTGAGCCTCTGGGATTACAGGCTTGGCACAATGCCTATCTTAAGTTAAATGAGGGCCAAAAGGTATGTCACAGTTATTTTTCGTTGTTGATGGACATTTATTTTATTCATTTATTTATATGTGGTGCTGAGAATCAAACCCAGTGCCTTACACATGTGAGGCAAGCACTCTACCACTGAGCCACAACCCCAGCCGCCATAGTTATTAATGAGTTGTTTTCCTGAATGAAATCTAACTATGCAAGTAGTATTTCAGAAGTTTGTCTCTGGTATTTAAAAACTAAATTATAATTAAGTTACAATTTTCCTAGTTTTTTTCTTTATTGACTTTGAAGAAGGATATGCAGATGTCTGTCTGCTGAAATAACTTTCAGTTGCTGGCTGTATTTAAAAATTAGCACAAATCTAAAATGAGTAAGTAAAGATGTAGTTAAGAGTCCAGCTTTTGTTAGAGGACTATAAGTAGAGTTGGCAGTATCTTTGATAAGAACACAACACTGCCTCCCTACTTTTTGATTCCCTTTGAATCATAGAAGAGTACTGTATGAATGCCACATTGTAGTCATTTTCTACACAAGAATATTTAAGTATTAGAAGAATTTCATATTGTGGAATGCAAAAAAGAGAAGAGCAAGCATTCATCAAGAGCAGAATCTTGCTGGACAAAGGATATAAAAGGGACAGAAATTTATGAGACACAATGATAAAGTGATTGCTATAATATATATCACAAGAGATAAGTATATTCTAAAGTAGCAACTTAAAGAAGAAATCATTACGTGATTATGTGGCAACCAGAATTACCTAAAGTTCTTAGAAAATTCTGTGAAGTTATTTTTGGGAAAAGGAGATGAGAATAAGAATAAGGGGGCAATGCATTTTTATAGTAAGGAAATTTGACTTCTATTCATGTAAGATATCCTTAATATATACAGAAAACTAATCTAAAAGGAATTCCAATTTATAACCCGTTCCCACTAAAATTCCAAAATTAAACCATTTTACTCATGTCAAACATGCCACTCAGTAATATCGTTGGTCATTTACACCCACAATTTATTTTAAAAAATTTAGTCATTTGCTTTAAGGAGATAAACATCCAAATTTTCTACAAAGTAGTAAAAAGAAATAGTTATAGAAAAAATATTAAGTAGAATAAGAACAGGATTATTCAATTCTAGTGACTTCCTAAATTAGATCTGCTTTGGTTTGCCCTATTTGACACAGGCTAACCTATTGTCAACTTCCCCTCTGTGAATATGTATCTCCTCTGGCATCCCTAATGATGATTGACAGTTAATAACAAAAGCTGCATGAGAAAACTGAAGTTTAATAATTAGAATGACCAACGGAATAAAACAAATTCACAACAGGAAATCAAGCCTCTGGAAGAGGCACTGCCAGTTTTTAGTAATGTTTGTGTGCTTTTACACACAAACACATGGTTAAATCCAATATTAGGGTATGGATTTTAGATTGGGAAAAAATTTTACCTAGTGTTTAAACACTCAAGTGTTCTTTGGCTCATCTTAAAAAAGAAAAGAAAAGAATATCCTGTTCAATATAACATAAAAGCAAACACATGTCCATTTATTTCTTTTTGTTGCTACCCTCCTTTAATTTCTCACTCATTTAATCTGTTTCAGTGGACAGGAAACGCACCATATCCCCCTGCCTGGATGGGTGTTTTTGGAGAAGCACAAGCATAGAGACTAAAATCCTCCGTTTGGAAACCAGCCCGATTCAAGGAGGGTTCTGATGCACTGCGGTGAATTTTTGGCAATGAGCGGGCCAGCAGCTCAATAGAGGCGAGAATCTATGGAAAAAGAAAACAAACAAATAAAAAGAAAACAGAATGAAAACCTGGGTGGCATAAATCTTTAAGAGACTCATCATACAAGAAAGCATCTGAAATCTTACATTGTTTTTAGTATTATAAATGCCTAGAAAAACAGAAGCTGGTATTTTTCCCTAAAAGCAATTAACAAAAAACAAAACAAACCACCCGAAGTTACTACAACTTTTATTTCTGTAAACTGAATGGACAAAGTAACTCCATTAAGAGCTTTTCTTTATGTTTTAGATCATTTGCCAAACTTGGAACAGTAAATAATAAAAAAATTTAAAACCAATTATATTTGTTTGGCACAGACCACAAGTTCCTTTTGGAAAGAAGATAGAGTATAAGTAAGTATAAGTAAGTACTACATGGCTAGCTCTAAACAGAACAGAGCAACTTATCCTTTAAAGAAACTCAGCAATGGGAAATGGTTCACACACATATAAATAAGACCCCACTGACCTAGACTGCTAGTGGTATGTCTCATAAATGAGAAGTGACAAATGAATGGTGAAGACAGGGAAAGTCTACAAATAAATAACAATATACAAAAGCAGAGAAATTCACATATTTTAAGGTACAAAAGAAACATGATATAAAAGTATATAGCATGATAATGCATGTTCATAATCATGAGACGTGTACAAAGGGCTTGGCACAATGCCAGGCATAAAGTAAGTACTCAATGAAATTTTAGCAGAAATTATCATTAATACTATTATTACTGTTCTGAACTATCAATATTATTTTTTAAGTCAAACTATAATCTTTATAGTGACTAGTAAAAGGAGGAAAAGAAATAAGCAATGTTACAAAAATTTTTGAATTCTAAAACAAGTAAATAAAATTTAAGCTGGGTACATTAGTGCACGCCTGTAATTCCAGCTACTCAGGAGGATTTAAAGTTCAAGGCCAGACTCAGCAACTGTGAGACCCAGTGACAAAATAAAAAAAATAAAAAAGGAGCTAGGGTTATAGCTCAGTGGTAAATGTGCCTCTAGGCTCAATCACTAGTATCTTAGTGAATGAATTAATGAAAACAAACATAAAAAGTAAAAAGAATAAGGTTCTTTAAATCCCATTCTCCAGGGATAATCATACTTTCTTCTGGATCTTTCCTATACATAAATATATACATATAAAAACAGAGCCCATCTTCACCACCTTTTATACTACACTTTTTTCCTCATTGTTTTCTTTTTACCCTCATTAATATCCATGCCATCTATAAAGTTACCTTCATTTTTATGTCTTCAAATTTAATCCATTATAGTAAACTTTTTTTTATATACCCAAGTACTTATGGAAGTAGGTTTGATAGCACAGGGTTTTAAGAGTATTTTAAATTTATGGATTCTACACCAAATACTTCCCACAAGCTGAACAATTTACTTTCTCACTACACAGTACCCCCCCCCAAAAAAAAAAAATTCTTTAAAGAATAATTCCTACCTCCCAACATTGTTCCCAGTGTTGGATACCAACAATTTTGACAGGCAAAATCAAAGGGTATCCCATTTTGGCATTTTACTAACTGCCATAGAAATTTTTGTCTTTTTCTAAGTTCATTCACCATTTGTATTTCTTTTACGCATCACCTGTTCATATTCTTTGCCCTCTTTCTACTGACTTGTCTTTGTGTGTGTGTGTGTGTGTGTGTGTGTTACTAGGGATGAAACTCAGGGGCACTCTACTACTTGTGATCCTCCTGGCTCAGCCTCTTGAGTTGCTGGGATTACATGTGTGTCCCACCATGGCCAGATCTTTTGACTGTCTTACTTACTGATTTTGTAAAATGTTCACCTTTGTTATATATGATAAAAAATTAGCCAGGTGCAGTGGCATATACCTGTAATCCCAGTGGCTTGGAGGATTGCCTCAAGGCTAGCATCAGCAACTTAGTGAGGCCATATCTCAAAGTGAAAAACAAAAACAAAACCAAAAAAGGGCTGGGCATGTAGCTCCTGGGTTAAATCTATCAAAAAATATATCTTTCTCTTTAAATTTTAATATTATTTTTTACTAATGTAGAAATTTAAAAAATTTAATGCAGGCATATATACTATATTAAACTTTATAATTTCCGAACTTTGCCTCTTGTTTAGGAAAGCCTTTCCTTCTTCAACACTGTAGAAATGATTTCATATTTTATAGTTGTTTTACATATAGATCTTTAGCCATTTAGGATTTATGTGGCGAAAAATTGTATGGTGTAGAAAGATAACCTCTGGGGCTGGGGATATAGCTCAGTTGGTAGAGTGCTTGCCTTGCATGCGCAAGGCCGTGGGTTCAATCCCCCATCACCTCAAAAAGAAAAGAAAAGAAAAGAACCTCTAACAAGCTGTGTGTGGCAGCACATGCCTGTAATCCCAGCTTCTTGGGAAGCTGAGGCAGGAGTATCACCAAGTTCATGGCCAGCCTCTGCAACCTGGGGAAACCCTGACTCAAAAAACAAACAAAAGAAATAACAGCGTTGAGGATATTGATCAGTTATCTGTCAGCAATTATGATAACAGATTAACAGAATGCCCTGAGTTAATTCCCAGTAAAACACACACACACGCACACACACACACAGAAAAACAACACACTAAACAAAAACAAACTGTAATGAAAATTTAAATATAATACTTAAAGGAGTAGCCTCCACTAATCTAGAAAATTCATATTCATATGCACATTTCAATTTTTGATACCACTAAATGAATGAAATGATATATTTAGAAGTATGAACAATTCTGTCCCTTTAAGTAAGAAATGTTAGCACCTGGGATGTGAAAAGAGATCATGGTACTGGCCCAGCTGCTGATGTTCAACAACACTGGTCTTTCATCCAGATGTTTTCTGAGTTAAAAACCAAGGCAAAGCAAAGCAAAGCAAAGCAAAGCAAAGCAAAGCAAAGCAAAGCAAAATATCCCAAAACTCTTTCTTAAAGTAACAGCAACTTAGGGTCATAGAACATAAAAACATTTATCTATCCATTTAACCATTTAGCCTCCCCTTTCTTTTCTGGGGCAGCCCTTGACACTTGCTATAACCATCAATTCTACCTTCTTTAATTTTTTTTCTCTTTTAAACATTTATTTTTTAGTTGTAGTTGGATACAATACCTTTATTTTTATGTGGTGCTGAGGATCGAACCCAGGGCCTCGCACATGCTAAGCGAGCGCTCTACCGCTGAGCCACAACCCCAGCCCCTTCTTTAATTCTTTAGAAAAGAAAAATTTTGGGATAAAAAATGAAGGATGAGTGAATCTCATTTCTGTAATGGTGACTTATCTAAGTACTCTAGTTAGGACTGACATTCAAAGGCATAAGAACCACAAAGAAATGTCCCAGCAATTATGATAACAGATTAACTATGGAAGTCTGTACTTCCCACTTTTATTAGTTGTTCAAAACATTACATAGCTCTTGACAAGTACTTCCCACTTTAAACAACTGATTTGTCATGGGGTATATTTAGACAGCGTTATCATGAAGTTCCCAAGCATAAGAAAATGCTGCATTTATATTATAATATCTGTTATAGTTAAATGCTTTAAGCTTGTTACCTTAGTTTCAGTTCTTTGTGATGTTTATTTCTTTTTTCCTTTCTTTTTTTAAAAAAATATTTATTTTTTAGTTATAGTTGGACACAATACCTTTATTTCACTTATTTATTTTTATGTGGTACTGAGGATCAAACCCAGGGCCCCGTGCGTGCAAGGCAAGCACTCTACCGCTGAGCCACAACCCAGCCCCTTTTTTTCTTTCTTAATTTTTTGTGAGGTGGAGTCTAGACATGTTGCCCAGGCTGGCCTCAGACTCTAGGCTAAAGCGATCTCTTCTACCTCAGCCTCCCAAGTAAGCGACACCACATTGGCTCTTTGTGTGGTTTATTAAAGATTATTAACTTTAGCCTCACAACATGAAAAGATTAAAAAAAAGCAATGAAGAGTTATAAAGAATCATGAAAAGAAGACTGCATTCATTGCCTTTTCTTTGTGCGCCAGGTGGGCATGTCCCTTAAAAAGACCTCGTATGAAAGGGAAACTTGGAACCTCTTTACCATCAAGAAGAATAAACATCAGTTCACAAAGTATGAGTTGTAGGCCTCTAAAAGGTCCATGGGTCAAAACTATTTTCATAACAATATTAAGATATTATTTGCCTTTTTACTGTCATTTTACAAGTCAAGTTTTCAGAGGCAACAATATAATGTAAGATACTACAACATAATGCAAAAGCAAAAAATCCAATTATTTTCTTTTTTTAAAGACATTTGAAAAAGAATGTAAAATGTAAATACCATTATTCTTTCAATAATGGTTTTGGTTTGGAAAACAGTAATTATTACTTACATAAGCAAAAATTCTTTGGGGTCTTTCATAATTTCTAAATATATAAAAGAATCTGTGACCAAAAAGTTTGAGAAATGCTGGATAAATGCAAAGACCTTCTGAAAGTTTGTGTTGGGAGCCCAAACTTATGCTCAATTTTCACAAACCCATCTTCGTGTTTTTACCTGTCTGGAGGCTGTACATAATCACATGGAATCTAAACCTATGAAACAAACAGTGTGCTCCATGGAGTGCTTGAAAATCTGCCTCTGAATGTTAGGCTATTCTTTTAGTTAGCACAAAGTTTTTTCTTACTTGGGGAAACAGTGGTCTTTCATCTCTTTTCTTTTTGAGGCACTCTGCCATTAATCTCTTCATGGCTTTTGGACAGTTACTCCGTACCTTACTGAGATCTGGGGATAGGTATCCTCGTCCCACCATGAAAATTATCTGGAGAAAAATAAAGGTAAATCACATATCTTTTACATAAGTTAAAATATATAAACAATGAAAAATCAATAAGCTCTACACTTAAGACATTTGTACTTTTCTAAATACATCTTATGCTTTGATAAAACCAACAATGCTAGTATATGGGTTCCTATATATCAGAGATTGTGGAATACTCATCCCCAAAGGGCTGCAATCTGAAATTTTCATGACCTGGGGCTGTCCAAAGGGCTCTTAACTCCTGTGCTGCTAGTTTCTCCTTATGTAGTCTATGTTCCCGCTGACAGTAACTGTTATGAAACACACAGATCCAATAGTGTTTCTTCTTTCCTTAAAAAAAAAAATGGTTACTGAGCCAGGTGCAGCTATGCACGCCTGTAATCCTAGTGGCTCGGGAGGCTGAGACAGAAGGGATTGTGAGTTCAAAGCCAGCTTCAGCAACTGCAAGGTGCTAAGCAATTCAGTGAGACCCTGTCTCTAAATAAAATACAAAATAGGGCTGGGGAATGTGGCTCAGTGGTCAGGTGCCCCTGAGTTCAATCCCCAGTACTAAAACAACAACAACATTAACAACAACAAAAGCAAAACAAAAAACAAAACAAAACAAAAAAATGTTATTGAGTACTTTTAATTGTTGGGTATTAGGCTAACTCCTTTGCATATGTGTAGCAAGAACCAAAAAGCTAACCTTTTTAGCAATCATTTGCCCTAGTGCTATGGAAACTCTAATGGGGCATTTGGTTATAGGACCTCAGAATCACAGCCTCTTCCATCCCAATAGAAATCTTTTAACCATGTTTATATGGTCTCAGCTCCTTCCCATGAGAAGAGAAGGTGAAGCCTTTCGGCTCTTTTGAGGGTAGATGAAAACAGATGTTAGGAGTCTTGGGAATCTGGGAAGAGAGGATCTGACGAGAGGGAGTTTTGATCTTAGAAGGAACAGGTCCCAGAGGGCTCGAATAGATGCTAGGGTGGAGGAAACTAGTAAGAAAGCCCCCATTCTGGGCAGAGCTGATGGAATTTTAGATATATTTAAGGTTAATGTTTGGTGTCAAATGACCCTTGTTTATGAGTCTGAAGTAAAGTTTTAATTGCAATGTGATCTCTATGGTACAGTTAAAAGGATGAAGCTTGGGAAGAGATATTGAGGGGACACAGATTTCTTCCATCTTGCCCTCTTCTGAATCCAGGATGTATAATCACTTTAATGGAGGAAAGAGACTCAGAATCCTAGCAGGAACTTGGAATAATACCTTGAAGCAACAGGTGACTATAAGCAACAACCAGGAAAAAGTAAAGCACTTAACAAGGGGGTCTTCAAAGTTGAGAAACAGTCTGGACTGTCTACATTCACAGAGGACAGCAGTTCAGATATGCTGACTTGGCTATCAATGGAAAAGGTAGCCCTGAAAGGCCAAAAAAACTTTGGTACACTTGAATTACAGATGTCATCTAATTTAACACTCAAAATAATTCTAACAAGGTAGGTATTAACCCTATTTTACAAATTAGGAACCCAAAGTTCAAACAAATCTAAGAACTTGTCCAAGATAATGCAGCTATATAAGAATTTGGAACTGGGCATGGCCCACAAACTCAAGATCAGTCTGGGCAATTTAGCAAGACCTTGTCTCAAAAATAAAAAGGGTTGGGGATGTAGCTCAGTAGTAAAGTGCCCTTGGGTTCAATCTCCAGCACCAAATAAACAAACAAACAAACAAACTAGATAAGACCATCCCAACAGAAATCTTTTAACCATGTTTTATATGGCCTCAGCTCCTTCCCAGATTCCTGTAAAATTCCGGTGAATTGAAGGCCTAACTAAAATTGAATCTTGCTCATCATACTTTTCCTTTCACACCAAGAAATGATAATGCCCTCCTTTCCACCAATAGCTGTTATGACTATTTACTGCATCCGATGGTTATTAATCTTCTTGTGATTATGTAAATTCCCCAATGAAACTATAGGTCCTTATAGGCAGGGATTGTGTCTCATATATATGCATATCTTCTTCTGTATTTGTATTTATTTATTTATTTGGCAATGAGTATTGAACCCTGGGGTGCTTTATCACTAAGCTACATCCCTAGTCTTATTTATTTTTTATTTTTGAGACAGGTCTTATGAAGTTGTTGAGGGTCTAGCTAAATTGCTGAGGCTGTCCTCAAGCTAGTGATCCTGCTGCCTAAGCCTCCTGAGCTCCGGGGGTTACAGGCATGTGCCACTATGCCCCACTCTCTTCTTTTTAAAAATCTATACTACCTCAGCCTCTAACATTTAACACAATCTTCTGGACACAACAGGTTTTTTTTTTTTAATATTTATTTTTTAGTTTTTGGCGGACACAACATCTTTGTTTGTATGTGGTGCTGAGGATCGAACCCGGGCCGCACGCACGCCAGGCCAGCGCGCTACCGCTTGAGCCACATCCCCAGCCCGACACAACAGGTTTTGAATGTGTAAGTTAACAACTCTTTAAGGTGAATGACAAATTTGTGCTGATTAGCCATGTCATAATTTGTAGTCTTCAAACTAGGGTTAAAGATCTCTGGGGCTACATGAAGATTCTACCAGAATTAAACACACATGGTAGTTTTAAGGGAATTAATTTCTACCTCATCAACTTACTTATGTCCCTTTCAAATAACTGACTTGCCCAAGAACTATTAATTCAGGTAAAAGTGTAAATCTTATCCTCTTTCCCCTTTCTCCTCTGTCATAACTGTCCTTCTACTTTACAAAAAGGCTTACTTTTTACCCATATGGAATCTAACTATATATATAGTACGCATTATTCCAGATTGTGAAAACTATGGAGGAATGAAAGGGATATTTCCAAAAGTTATTATCTAACTTAGCTCTAATGATTATCTAACTTTTTATCTAATTATTATCTAACTTTGTACCAAAGTTGGTTTCCAATTCTTTGTTTCCAACAAAACTGTCAAGTGATCATTAAAATAGTTTTTAAGAAGTTACTATATAATATCTGGGTGTGGTAGTGTAATACCAGGGGCTCAGGAGACTGAGGTAGGAGGATTGCAAGTTCAAAGCCAGCCTTAGCAACTTGGCAAGGCACTAAACAATTCAGTGAGACTCTGTCTCTAATAAAAACATGAAAAAGGGCTGGGGATGTGGCTCAGTGGTTAAGCACCACTGGGTTCAATCCCCAGTACCCTCCCACCCCCCCAAAATTACTATATAATTTTTGGCATAATCTAGGAATGAATTCAAGTAATTGAGTGATATGGTGTACTCAGAGAGAGAGGACTGGTCTTTGTGTTTTGCTCCTGGGAAATAATCACTAAGCCCAGGGGGATGTCTTGTCCTGTTTCTCTGGGGACTCTGGGCCATGTCAGATGTCTGTGCTAACAATGTGACTTACAGAGGGGTCTTTGGATCATTTAGTATCAGCATGACCCTTGAAGGAGCTGGAAACTGAGGTCAACTACACAAGAGTCAGCTACACACCTATAAAACCAAGTCCTAATAAAACCTCTAGACTCCAAGGCCCAGGAAGTTTCCCTGGTTGGCAATATACAATGTGTATTGTCACATACCACTACCAGGAAATTTAGTACTGTCCACAACTCCATGGGAAGAAGATAACTGGAAGTTTCACTTGAGACATGTTTTTGGACTCTGTTCCATGTATTTTTTCCCTTCTGATTTTAATCTGCATTCCTTCACTGGAATAAACTGTAACTGTGAGTACAACAGACTTCAGAGAATTTTCAGTGAGTCCTTTTGGTCTTGGGACTATGAAACTTTGCATATGGCTATATAAAACTCCTACCTTTTCTATCTTAATAAGATTTCTCAATATTTACCTCTTTAAAAATACAATAAGGAAAAAAGATCAATATTAAGCCTTGGCTCATCTACCAAAAAATCGTATTTACCTACAGATGTATAAATCAACTGAAGGATAAACAAAAGCCCAGTGTTATTTATTAATATACACATTTCAATAAAATTTTATACTGTCTCTTCTCTATTAATCAAAACTTACATTATTTTTATCAGTTACATATTAAAAATTGAAACAATGGCATAATTCAGAATTTTTAAGAAATCAACAACCCAAAACAGAAAAAATTTTAAACATTCTAAGTTTAAACTTATAGCCATATTTTTTATTGTAAATATGTAACTTGAATAATCACTAAAAAGCTTTAAAGCATAGAAATGTGTTACATTAGGACAGAATTATGTGGAGAGTGAAACAGAATACTACAAATAGTTCGGGGGAAAAAATAGGAATCATGTCCTACCTCAAAAATTAACATAGAGCTATCATATTTTTTAAAATAAGTGATAGTATATCAAATTATTATGGTTTTTAGATTTTACTAGATATTTTTATTTTTTGGGGGTGCTGGGGATCAAATCCAGGGCCTCAGCATGCTGGGCAAGTGTTCTACCACTGATACATTCTACCCTAGATACATTTTTAAAAGCATTGTAGATAGGTATGGTGGCTCATGCCTGTAATCCTAGCAACTCAGGATGTTGAGATCGAAGAATCACAAGTTTGAGGCCAGCTTCAGCAATTTGGTGAGGTCCTAAGCAACTTAGTGAGACCCTGTCGCAAATTAAAAAAGAAAAAAGAAAAAAGGGCTGGGGATGTAGCTCAGTGGTAAAGTGTCCCTGGGTTTAATCCCCAGTACAACAACAAAACAAAAAACTTTAAAAAGAGGGAGTTAGTTATACCAGCCTTATTTTAAATGTTAACTGAATAGAAAATTATATTCTTAGCAATTACTCAAGCTTAAGGTAAAACTTCTTAGATGCTAATTTATTTATTTTTTATTTTTTTGGTGCTGAGGATTGAACCCAGGGCCTTGGGCTTGAGAGACAAGCACTCTTCCAACTGAGCTATACCCCCAGCCCCTTAGATGCTAATTTAAAAGCATTCACAGAGATGCAAAATTTTTCAAAAACCTGACTTTCAGAAAGAATGTGAGAAAGAAATCAAAGACAACTCTTACATTTTTATATGCCTCACTGTTTTAGTTTCTGTGGAGTACAGGGCAGGTGACCTTTACTGCTGGGGTTGGGGAGCTCAGTGATGATGAAAGAGCAGGAAAGCGAAAGGACAAGTCTTTCCCGGGATATAATTTGAGAAAATTCGTGGGGTACACATGCACAAAATCTATACATTAGCTTGAAATCTGGGACTGGTTCTTATTTCGAATACACATTCAGCACTCTGACACCCTCCCCTTCATCCCCTCATTTTCAACATCACCCCATATATTGCCTCAATAGAACTCTACATTCCATTGGTAGCTCAGACTGTGCTTTATTCATCTTTGAATGTCTCTATATTCCACAGTGCTTTATATGTAGTAGATGTTAAAAAACCTTTTCTGTTAAAATAATTTGTGTATTAATTAAGATACTGGAACTTATCATTTCTTGTTTCTTGAGAGCCTATGCTTAGAACCCAGGCAATCTGCTGTGAGAAAGAACAAGCAGCCTGAAGAAGTCCTATGGAAAGGACTATGGAAAGTCCTATGTGAAGAATTGGGTTCCCTAGTCCATGGCCCTGACTGAGTTCCCAGCTGACAGCTACTGCCAACTTGTCAGGTATGTGAATGAGCCAATTTGGAAGCAGATCTTCTTAACATCCAGTCACATTGTTCTAGCCGATACCACGTTAAACAGATAAATCTTCCTTACTGGGAGCAGCCCAATTGTAGATTCATTTGAGACACTACATTCTGGATGGTTTGTTATACACCAATAACTGGAATATACTTAAAATAACTGACATATGTTATCTATTATTTTCTTCTAAAAATACACAATATTTCTGTTCCAAGAAAAGAAAGCTATGAGGATATAGTCAATATTCTTAGCTTAGATAAGCCCATTATTATTAATCCCCATTTAGTAGAGGATTAAAGAGGGAAGAAGAGGGAGATTAGAGAGGAAAATGAAATGATAGAATAAAACAAATGAGAGAAAAAGTGATTTCTCAGAATCAGCACTGAGAAAAGTAAAGGAGAAATGGTATACTACTTTGCACAGTAACATAAATGGTCATCTCTCAGAGAGCTAAAAGACTTACTTTTGTAAATAATCTGATTTTTAGATCTGATTTTCATAACTGGAAAAAAAAAGACACATAGAGAGGTAAGATGACCAGGTAACAAAGGTCTTGAGGCCATGCCTGCCAATGTATCACACTGCTTTACCCCACCCCCTGCTCTCAGTTTAAAGAAACAACCTGTCACCTCAGACTATGGGGTGAAAGTGTAGAGGAATGGTACCTACACTGCATAGTAAAGAAACAGCTATTCCATCTCCTAAGAAAAAGAAAGAATATTATTCCTGGATTCTCAAACAGAAGTCTAATCTGAGAGCCATGGAACTCAAGAGAAAGTGAAAGAAAATTCAAAACAAGAAGATGAATGGAGCAATCTGGGGTTACTTCACTGAGAATGACGAGAATTATTCTTTCAAAATGGGGAGTTCCATGGAAAGTACCATTTGAAGAAAGTAGGCTACAGGATAATGAAGTAGAATGGGGGTAGTGGGAAGAGTATGTCATTCTTTTACCTCTACCTCCTTTAGCAAATACTTAACTTGGTTTCTGGCTGGCAAATTCCAGGGGCTCTAACTATAGTACTAAAAGAATTAACTAGTAAAGGCCTTACCCTTCTGCTGGTCACTCACTCACTTCTCTCATGGAGAGTAAGCCCTTGCCACATCATTTATTATACTCCCATGGAGGACAAAGCACCTAAAATGCCAAGAAGTGGATGAGTGCAGAACTCTGGGATGCTTTTATCCATATTTTGGAGATAGTAATATTTGTTTCCATATTATAATTATATTAAAATAAACTGACAGATCTTAAGTTCACAAATTTTTACTAATTTGTAGTCTATATGATCAATCAGCTAAAACTAAACTAAAAATCCTTAGTAACTCCTTTGGAATAATAATACCCATAGGAAAAGTGAACATGGCACAGAGTGTTATGCTGTTGTATGCTTGAATTACATTTGTAAAAGACAGAGCACATGATGCTTCCAAATTTTGCTAATCAGACTGCCATCATCCAATCAATCATCTCAGTGATCTATATCTGTCATAAGTACAGTTAAGTATAGTGTTTCAATTGTGTTCTTTAGCTAGTATTTAGCACCCCCTCCCATCTAAGTTTCATGCAGGCTTGACATAAGATCATCAAAACAGAAGTTCTATACTGTTTAACACTCAAAACTAAGACTCAACATTCTAAAGCTAATGAAATGATTAGAAAGACAAAACAGCAATTACAAATTCAGCTTTATGATGAACTGGATAGAAATGCAATCATTTTTTTAAATGCTCAAAGCAAGAATCAAGACCCCCACTGGCTACAGAAGATACAGTGATTCAATAGGAAGGCCTAAAGTTCAGGATAAGTTGGATTACTTCTATGTTACCACATGATAGTTAAATGAAAAAGCTATCATCAAAAAGAGAGTTGAGCTACTGACCAAAATAAATATATCACTTAAATATATCACTTTTATATATAAAATCTATCATTTCATTAGGTTGGGAAGTCATGATAAAATATGTAAAAAGTTTATACTTTTTTGTTTTCATTCTCTGGTTGGGGATTCTCAACATTGGTATGAGTCAGAATCACCTGGGAAGCATAAAAACGGGTACTTGAACCATCCACCAAGCACTCAGAATCTGCTCTGGTGTCTCCACTTACAAGCAATTTCTCAGGTAATTCTGATGAAAAACATAGCAAAAAGTCTAAATATTTTCAAATTACAGTTTACACTGTCAACTCTTATTTTCTAATATATTAACAGTTAATGCTGGAATCTCTGTCTCCTTACACATACTATTTAAATGCTAAGGTATCCAAGACAGTTTCAGTAAAGACAATTCACTTTTCTTGCTTAGTTTTAAAAGCCTACATGAATTTATTGTGAAAAGACAGAAAATGCAAAGAGCTACATGAACTACAATGTATTGGTACTTTTCAGAAGGTAAGGGATAGAGAACAGTAACTTAGGAAGAAAAAAAAATCCCCTCTTACTAGATTTCTCATTATAGAAAACTCAAAGCATGATTTAACATTGCTTCCATGATTTTAAAAATTAAAAAAATCTTAATTAAAAAAAAATTCAATACAAAGACATTCATGGCCAAGCACCTACTCCGATGGCACAATCCTCAAAGAGTAAAAGGCTTAACACCTAAGTATTATAGCTGCAGAGCTCATTCTTCTACTTGAGCTCTGGTTAAGAAACATTAAGTAAGTATTATTTACTGTTGTGTCTCTAGTTTTCAGTTACAAAATCAGGAATTTCACTCCACTGTACCAGCATTTCAGAGAAAAAGTCTTAGTACAAGCTGCTATTATGCCAAAAGTGCACAGAAGATTTCTAAAACTGGTCACCAAGATCAAGAGAGCTATCCTTCAGGCTTACCCAGAACTCAATACTTCCTTTCTATAGCTAACCTGAGCTTTTACACAAAAACTGAAATAAATCCCCAAGAGATGGTAAATATTTACCTGGTCCCTGTTGTTGATGTTTGAATAAGGTAACTGTCCAGTCATCAATTCATACAGAACAATCCCAAATGCATATACATCTGACTGAAAGCTGTATGGATTTTTATCTTGCATTCTGATTACTTCTGGTGCCTGTTAGAACATAAGAAGAAAAATATTGTAGTTTATTCTTCACTTCAAGTGAATAAAGACTGAAATAAAAACTGTAATTGCCAGAGCAGTGTTTTATCATAAAAAAACTCATCTCTTATTAATAGTCAAAGAACTGAAACCAATTAAGAAAGAGGAAGAAAAAAAACTCCTGCTCTATAGATTCTGAAAGAAGCAGTTCTAGGTAAGATTCTATAATGCATTACTAAGACTAAGACTTTATAATTTTATCAGCTAATTTTCTTTCTGAACAAAATACCATCACTGCCATTTGACTTCTTCCTAAGACTTACCCTATCAGAATCAGTTTCCACTTCTCATTCCTGATTGAGCAAAAAAACAATAACAACAACAACAACAAACTAGACCTGTAGCTATAAGATGCTCGAGAGTAGGCACAACAACTACAGTAATTGTCTCAGAACTTAAGTTTTTCCATTGGTACAAAAGGTTTTCCTCATCTCAGGGCACCTTAGAAAATAATGGTAGAATTTAAGGCTGATAAACTCGAATTCCCTGTTAAGCCATGGAATAAACACGTGGTATAAACATGTCATGGAAACTTTATTTACAAAAGCTACAGACAGCAGGTAGATTTAGGGAAAAAATGGTATAAAAAATCTTTTGGCTGCTGGTCCTTGGCAAAGTAATAGACCAAATCACTATCTGCCACATTTTTACATATTTCAGTCATTGTATTGCACAACTATATTTCTAATTTACATGAAATACAATGATTGACTGGTTAACAATTAGCTTAAAAGATTTCTTCCTTCGCAAAGTATCTCCTGTTTTGTTTCATTTGGAAAGAATTAAGAAGTTGCAAGAATATTAATGAAAACATCAATTTGATAGTAAAAGCTGTACTAACTGCAAAAATGGCTAGAAAAGGTTCCTGGTGTGGGAAGGCAGGTATCTCACAAGGAGAGGCAGTGGCTCTTAACTACAGCTGCAAGTCAGACCATTTGTGGAGCTTTTAAACCTCACAATGGCCAGACTACACTCAATCTCAGTAATTTAACATCTGAACCTAGGGTGGGTCCCAAATGTTATTGATCATTAAAGCTCTTCAGGTGATTCTAACGTCTAACCCAAATTGAGAACACTGATGAAAGATCTGTGGAAGAACCTAAAGGGAGTCAAAAGATGGGGTTGGAAGAGAAGTTTGCTACTACTTGCTTTTGTTATACATTCTGATGATAGTTGCTTTTAAGTAATATAGTACAAAATAAACCACTTACAACTTTGATGAAATGAACAAACCAGAATACCAAGAAGCCGGTTATGATAAAAGACATAATATTCAAAGCCTAAACTAATTTTTGTGAGGGACAGAGTAAAAACTAGTTGAAGAACTATCTTTTCATACGTGTGTGTGTGTGTGTGTGTGTGTGTGTGTGTGTTGCTGGGGACTGAATCCAGGGCCTTGTGCATTCGAGGCAAGCACTCTACCAACTGAGCTATATCCTCAGCCCAGAAGACGTCTTTTCAAAAATTAGTTTTATTTCACTGTTGTTGGTGGATGGCTTGATGAAAAGCTGTATGTGAGCTATTTACAAGAAATGCATAACTGATCTTCAATTTAGTAGTTTAACTTGTAAAATTTTTCACAAAGGTTTCTCTTTCAAGATATACATAAAAGAAAGTTAAGACAAATATAATTAATTCAGAGGACCACATAATGTTAGTTCTGATCAAACTCTGGTGTTATTCTGTATTTGCTTCTGAAGGCAGTATCAACCCAGAAAGATTTATTTAACAAAGAAGTACATTATTGGCTATTCTCTTACCTTAAAATTTAGCATAAAGGATGAATTTATCTATCCAGGTATCAACAAAAGTAATTGGAAGGAAATATAAACTTTCTGTGTAATAATACACTAACTGAAAAATCTTAAAATTTTTCAGAGTAAGAACAAACCTGGAGACTTGATTGGGCTCAATTCTCCCACACTAGTTAAAATAAACATACCTTTAAAAAATGTGCATGGTTTGTTTTTTAGGTTCTGCAATTTCAGCACTTAAAAATCCGTTTCTGCCTATCATCTTAGGATATACTGCCATTTTTGTTATAGGCATATACTTTAAAGGGTCCTGAAATCCAATTATAATCATAATCCAAATATAATTATTAATTAGCCTCATATTTCTAATTATTATTTAAAACCATTAAACATATATTAAAGAATTTTTTAAAAACTTAGCTAACTACAATTACTAAATTTTAGAAAGGGCCTCAGAAATTCACTAGTCCAACTCAACACTGTAGATGGAGAGAATAAGAGGAGGTTAAAAAAACCTGCAAGTTAATGGCCAGAGTACTACTAGAATACAGATCTCCTGACTCTAATATTAAAGTCCAATGTCTTCTCTTCCACCTTGCCACTTGCCCTAATTCCATGTACTGTCATAAGAAATCATAGCTCAATTTAACCCTATGCCTATATCTTGATAAACTTGGAATCTTACCCTGGAATTCCCTTCTTGGGCACTGCTACATATAGTTTGAGGAATTTTGGCAAATACAGCTTCAGAAGCCCTCACAACTTTTCTGTTTCTGGCAGAGTGTCCCAGAAGTTTTAATGCATATTAAATTATTTAAAGCTTAAAATTACACTAAGACTTCTGGGATACCTGTATTTAGCTTAGAGCTGCAGTTTTCAAACTTGCTGGTCCTAGGACTTGTTTTCATTCTTAAAAATTATTAAAGACCCTAAAGAGTTTTTGTTTATGTGGATTGTATCTGTGGCTTATTTATCATATTAAAACTTAACAAAGAAACTTAAAATATTGACTAATTCATTTAAATATTAAAAATAATAACCACTAATGTCAACACAGAACACACATTTTTAATAAAAAATATTTTTAAAAATAAAGGTTAGTGAGAATAGTACTGTGATTCTCTTTGACATCTGGCTTAATAGCAACCAGGTGGATTCTATTTGCTTCTTTATTCAATCATTCTCTCCTTTTGTTCTTGCAGCTCTGGGGATCCAAACCAGCATATACTGGGCGGCACTCTACAATCAAACGACACTCCTTGCCCTTGCTTCTCATTTCAATATGTTGCTATGTGTTGTTTTGATCGGAGGATAAGAAGAAAATCTGGTCTCACAAAGGGATTATTGTGGTTCCTCCCAATGAAAGGTCTTAGGGATCCTTTTGAGAACTGCTGATTTATATAGCATGATTCCTATACATTTTGGGAGGTACTGGGGATTGAACCCACTCTGGGCTACATTCACAGCCCTTTATAATTTTTCAATCTTGAGACAGTTTCCCTAAGTTGCTTAGAGCCTTGCTAAATTGCTGAGGCTGGCCTTGAACTTTCAATCCTCCTGTCTCAGTCTCCTGAGTTGCTGAGATTAACTGTCTGCTGCAGTAACTGCACAGAAATTTTGTTCCCTTCTTTTAGAACTTCTCTTTCTTCTTTTCAACAAAGCAAAAATAAGAATAAAGAAAGAGAAAATAAGTTATGCAAGGAAGCATAAGGCTAATACTTAAAAATTCCCCAATTTTTTTCTCTTGCCTTTCCTCTCCCAGTTGCCCCATAATCATACTGTTCTTTCCAGTCTGAAGGAAGTAACTTTCCAGTTTAGGCTCAAGTAAGATTGTAAAATAGCCTCTTTGTTAAAAGGAAGAGTTTTCTTAGCAAAACCACAATAATGGCTGTACTCCACACCTGCCTTAAATTGCAACCTATTTTTTTTTAAACAGTGCACATAGGACATTTTGAACACAAAATATTTTTAAACGGACAATTCTGAATAAACTTTAAACATTGTTTATAAAATATATTTTTGTTTAAAATATAGTGAAACTGACTTTATACATTATTTTTAAAGATAAAAAAGTTAAAATTATTTACATAAAACATTGATTTTTTTCCAAATACTGGGAACTATGAAAATACGATAGTTGAAACCTGCAATGACTTTCTAGTTACTCAGCAGCATCTCAGGTTCCAAAAATGTAATCCATGGAGAAATAGCCTCAATTCTTACCATCCACAAAATGGATCCAGACAACTGTTCAAACTGATGGGACCCACTCCATCGAGATTTCACTGTGGCTAGACCAAAATCACCTATTTTTACCGTGAGGTCTTCATGAAGAAATATATCTGAGGTGTAGTAAGTAAAGGAAAACAATAGATCTCAATTCTCCTATTAGAGCAAACATTATGAAAATTTTAGGTAAGAGATCTAGTTTCTATAATTCTGTAATATGATAGTCTTTAATAAAGTACAGTACTTCATATTTCCTAAAGTTGATTGAAAAGGTTTTAAACAATAATTAGTTGTATTTAACCTAAGTAACCTATTTTTAAAATTTGGGGGGCTTAAAATGTACAAGGATGAGGTGATGCTTTCTTAAGCCTTCGGGAGCTCTAGAAACTTTCCCATTTGATTTTGATCATGTAGGCCCAGATATACTTTAGCACTTCTGGGGAATCTATAAAGGCTCTTTACTGGAATAAAGATGCCAGCAGGCAGGGTCTGAGACTGGGCTTACGGAAAAAGAATTTTTTTTCTCATCTCACTGCTATGTAATTTAGAGCCTTCCATTAGATCTCAACTACTCCTGAACAAGGGCAGAGGGGTGAAAGAAACTAGTACATAGCTATAAACTTATCTGTTTTATAGTGTGGATAGAATGTAAGCAAGCAATAAAAAAAGTCCTACTATTATGAAGACTTTAGATAGATTTTCTTATAGTGCTCAATCATTCAGAAACCAAAAGCAGGCTATTATATCCTTCTCTACTATACTCTCATGCAAGCTGATTTATTAATATTCTTTACAGTATACTGAATTTAGCATGAAAACTGTTTTTACATAATATGAAGACAAAATGCAGAAGAAAAAGTCAGGATGTTTTCAAACTTCGCAGACAAATTTCAGGAAGGATACTATTACTCTTGAGGTCTCTGTGGATGATTGACTTGGCGTGTAAGTAACTGAAAAACAAAACATCATTTAAACCTGAGTAAGGCTAAAGGACTCTGGCCTCAGAATCTACAGAACATACTTAGGGGTATAAATATTTATTTAGAATCACGATACAATTAAAATCTGTACATTGTGATAACTTCTTTATACATAAATTAGTTGACTATAAATGAATTTAGGATTTTAGAAACATATCACTATTATTTACAGCCCAAATCTTGTTTATATTTAAAGACTTCACTTTATCTTTTACTAGTTACAAATACAAACCTTTCAACCCTGTGAAGCCTATTTATTAATTTCCTATAAATACACTTTGACATTCAATGCTTCCCACCTGTACCCATCTCTCCAAATCAGCTTTCATTTTATTTATCACATATTTAAACTTGTCCTTTAAGATGGAACACAAATTCTAACTCCAAAGTGAAGCTTTCCTATGATTAACCCAACTGAAAGTGATCTTTCATTGTTCAATTTATTTAGTAATTATTTTAATAGCTGGATTTATTTATTTTTTTTAATGTGCCTATGTTTGCTTTCTATTTAGAATGTAAACTCCACCATAATGTAAAAGTTTGGTAAATTACAACTATTTTTAAAGGTGGTATGATATATTCTTAAAGGACCTTACTGAAACTATATGAAAGTTGGGTGTGGTGGTTCATGCCTGTATTCCAGTGAATGGACCTTACTGAAACTAGTGAGGAGCAGACTTCCTCTATAATGACCACAGTGGATCTATTTTAAAACTAACTTAAAGTTTAAATCATCTATGGTACTGCCACAAATTGCTTTAGTTGTGTTCATTGAGGGAAAGCGCTTTGATTAATTTATTTCCATTTATCTACACTGCCTAATATAAGACCTGGCATGTATGTTAAATATTCAATATATCTGTTGAATCAACTATAAATAGGATATATACATAAACTCCACTCAAATTTAATTCTGGAAAAAACAGATGAGACTTCTGAAATCTAACAATGACCATTAAGAAATAAGTTCTGCTTTAAAATAAAAAACTAAAATCCAAATAATATGATCAAAATCATGTAATGGACACCTAAAAATAGAAGACTTCCAAATAATTGAGATTCTTCATGTTTTCTGGTCTTTATTTAAAACTTCCTCATTCTCCCAGTCATCAGGATTTTAAAACTAAGTTTTTGAACTAAATTTTCATTTTAAATTACTATTTATTCAAAGTAATTCTTTCTCCTCCAATTACTTCTAATCTCACACTATTTCTATCATTTACAGCATACACCACAATATAAAACTTATCTTGTTTTGTAGGGTGAGTGTTGTTCTGCTACACCATACTGTCACTTTTCCATTGAAAGAAAATCTGATGTCAAGTTCTACAGTAACATGGAAAGCTAAAAACAGATGGAAATAAATGTGTTCTAATCAAAAGCTTTTTCAAGATGGGGCGAACCTGACTCCATGAGAAAGAAAGGGGGTAAATGATGATGATGTTGTTGGTGGAGCTAGGTCAAAGAGCCCTAGGGTCTAGTGTGCTGCAAAGGTGTTCGTCTTTGAAAGTGGTTCCTTCTCCTGGGAGATGAAACAAACAAAACCAATGGGAGATACATACGAAAATGGAGGCATGATGAAGTTAAAAGGAGTGCAGATAAAGATGCTTTTTATTTTGGGGGGCAGTAGAAGGAATTGAACCCAGAACCTTGTGCATGCTAGACAGGTACTCTACCACTCTGCTACATCCCCAGCCTGATAAAGGTGTTCCTTTCAATGCAAAACAATAGAACCAGAATAAAAGAGAAATGTAACTGAAGAGCTGAGGAGAAAAAATTTCTGTCCAGGAATTTAACAGATAATTAACAAAATATAAATGTGATTGTTGAACTAGTGGTTATTACCAGTAGAAGCTGGACAGCATAAAGTATTAAAGACCAAAGTTGCAAATGGCTGCAATTTGAAATAGCATCACCTTATACCCCCTGCTTTCCTAATTTTTATCTCATGTAATAATTCTCTTTCTATAATATTTCTGCAACTAAAGTGACAATAAAGTCCATGTCTGTATAATGGAAGGCTGGAAGGAAAAGAAGCTATTTCCCCAACTAGAAAAAACAGGATGCACATCATACCCCAACCCTATAAAATAAAAAGTTTCACATTAATTGTATCATAAATAATTCTATATAGGTTGACACTAAAACCATTTCCTAGGCAATGACCCATTATAAGGGAAGATGCCAAAAACAAATAAATAAACAACCACATAGTCAGTTGGGGGACAGGTAGGAAAGGGAACAAGAATAAACTGACTTTGGCTACAGAAGTCTATGCATTATTTAGGATAATTCCACTAGCCCTCTGAACTTTTTAAGACATTAAGGAGAACGTTACAGGTTTACGAATGTTATGGGTTTTCAAAAATACTAGGAAAGACAAACATGGTATCAACTAAATATCACATTCTCTTGACAGAATTCTCTTAGGAAATCTCTTATCTGGAAGAAAAAATGTCTACCAATAGAATCATTATTCTTAGATCTGCAAAATTATCTAGTAAAATTTGTTTTCTGTATATTCCTTTTAAGTTCTTACATAAAATTAAGTTTTTCAACATTCTTTTCAGAGCACAAGATGATGCCTCAAACTAAGTAAGCATTTCAGATTTGATCTAACACAAACTAGAGTGAGATTCCCATCTTCATCTGTCCCTTGGGGTGAGCATAAAAAATTTAAGTGAGCCATTGTCACTCAATGGACTCTTAGGTTTAATTACAACACTAGAATTATCTTTTTAAACTGCTCCTATAAAATGCTTCCTCCTTGGGCTGGGGTTGTGACTCAGTGGCAGAGCATTTACCTCACACATGTGAGGCGCTGGGTTTGATCCTCAGCACCACATAAAAATAAACAAAAACAGAGATATTGTGTCCATGTATAACTAAAAAATATTAATAATTAAAAAATGCTTCCTCCTCCTATATTTGCATACTTCTGTTCTTTACACCTGGATGAAATTTTATGTTTTGTAGATATGGCCTAAAACCCCACATTAAAATTTTAGTTTTCGCTAAAATAGGTTTTAAAAGATTGGCATTCTAATGATGTCCTCATCTAGGTACTGCTAAATATACTCATCACATTCACAAGAGAGGAATAAAGACAGAAATCTTCCAGCTTGCTACTTTCAGGTATGATTGTTTATCCAGTTATGAATGTAGTTAAGTCCTGCCATTTGTGTTACATCTCTTGGTTTTATCTTTAAGAAGAATATGAAAGTTGGGTGTGGTGGATCATGCTTGTATTCCAGTGAATGGAGGGAGCTAAGGCAGGAGGATCACAAGTCTGAGGCCAGCCTTGGCAACTTGGTGAGACTTTGTTTCAAAATAAAAAATGAAAAGGGAAGGGGATGTAGCTAGCTCAGTGGTGGAGCATTTCTGGGTTCAACAAAAACTTAGTACCAAAGGAAAATCAACAAAACCAAACAAAGTCAAACCAAACCAAACCAACAACCAAAACCAAAACCAAATAACTCCCCTCCCCAGAAAAAAACCAGGAGCAATATTATTCAAATACTTTGATGAAATTCAAATACTGCAGTACACCATCTGGCTGATTTATCAGTCTCATCTATTTGTGAAAGCTTCTAGGCTCATGTTAATTGGCTGGTATTTTCTACTATTTTTAAAACTTCAGACCTGGACTAAGCAGACACTTATATTTTGGCCTTTTTTTCACCAAATTCTACACAATCCCACAGAGGTTCATCAAACTTCAGGACAGCAAGCTGACTCCCTCTGACACCCTAGCTGCCCTTGGAAAATTTAGAAGCTGTCTCAACTGGTAGATGTGACAGCGGTAACAGTGTCATATAGTCTTTCTTCTACTTTGATGTTTTTTGGTTCCCCTGAAAATCATGATGTAGAAAGCGAGCAAGATGGAAGGGAATGACATTCTGCTACTTCTCCATAGTCAGCAATCATTTATCATTTTAAAAATAATTAAAATCTCCAATAGGTAGTTTCCAGATTTTTCAGTTGTGGTTTATAGTAGAACTTAAATTCTATCTCACTTTGTTTTTACCTTCTTTCACTTAAAAAAATAAAACTTATTGAGGTATAATTATAAAAGACAGTGATTCAATTTTAAATGTCTAATTAAACGAGTTCCAACAAATTTATACCATCGTGTAATGACCTGTCATAATCAATATAAAGAATATCTACCACCCCAAAAAAGTTTCTTCATCTATTTTTGCAATTAATAATACCCCCAGATGTCCATTGTTAATTCTTTTTGTCACTATGGGTTATTTTCATCTTTATGAATTTTGTATAAAAAGAATTATATGGTTTCTTTTGCTTAGCATAATGATTTTGAGATCAACCTGATGGTTGCCTGAAGTATTACGGGGTATGAATATACCACAGCTTATCCATTTAACTGCTGGATAGGTACCATTTGGACATTTTGTTTTTTAGTAATTATGAATAAAATACTGTAAACATACATGTATAAATTTTTGTTGTTGATGTTTTTTATTTCTTTTTGGTTAGTTAGGTAAGATCAGAATTGCCCATTTGTCAAGTTTAAAAGAAACTATCAATTTGTTTTCCCAAATGGTTGTCTCATTTGAAATCCTTATAATATATGAAAGCTCCAAGTTGCTCTTCATCCTTGCCAACACCTAGTGTTCTGATTACAGGCGTTCTGAATGGTGTAGTTCTATAGCACTGTAGTTTTAATTTGCTTTTTCCTAATGTCTAACTATGTTAAAATTTTAGGGGGGCTGGGATTGTAACTCAGTGGTAGAGTGCTTGCCTAGCATGTGTGACGCACTGGGTTCGATCCTCAGCACCACATTAAAACAAAAATAATAATAAAAAAAGGTATTCTGATCAACTAAAAAAAAATTAAAAAATCTTTGTGCTTATTTTCCATTTACATACATTCTATAATAAAGATTTCAAATCTTTTTTTTTTTTTTTTTGAGACAGTCTTGAGCTGTTGGATGGCCTCAAACTTT